TAAGTCGTACATCCACAGTATCGAGGCTGATGGGTCATCCTTGACCCATGAGGCTCAGATTCGAGAGTCGGTTGTTGCTCACTTCCAGACCCTCTTCAAATCTGACAGAGGGTCCCTTGTGGCCCCGAACGCTTCTCTTTTGCCCACCATCCCTCCTTCGGTCGATCTCATTGGCCTCTGTGAGCTCACGAGTAGGGAGGAGGTTAGGGATGCTGTATTCGGGATTGATCCCAACAGCGTTTCTGGCCCGGATGGTTTCTCCTCCCTCTTCTATCAGGTCTGCTGGGATCTAGTCTAGACTGACGTCGAGGAGGCGATGTTGGATTTTTTCTCCGGCCACCGGATGTCGGATTCCTTCACGTCTACCTCTGTCGTCTTGATCCCCAAAAGACCCAACCCGAGCTCTTGGTCCGATTACAAGCCCATCAGCCTGTGTAACGTGACCTACAAGCTCATTTCGAAGATCCTTAACGGCCGTCTTTCCCTACTTCTCCCCTCCCTCATCTCTCCGAACCAGAGTTGATTCATCAAGGATCGGGTCATTAGTGATAACATCCTTTTGGCCCAGGAGATGATCCACGACATCTCCCGTGCGGATTGGAAGCGGGCTCCGAATATTGCGTTGAAGCTAGATATGGCTAAGGCGTACGATAGGGTAGAGTGGCCGTTTCTTAGGGAGGCCCTGGCTAGGATGGGATTTCCTGACCGTTGGATCAGTTTTGTTGAGGCGTGTGTGGAGCACTGCACGTTCTCGGTCCTGGTCAATGGCAGCCCCACCGATTTCTTTCCCTCATCTAGAGGCCTTAGACAGGGCGACCCCCTGTCCCCCTTCCCTTTTCGTTCTTGCGGAGGACTACCTCTCTCGCTGCCTTGACGGTTTCATCCGCGACTTTCCTCATATGACGTATAGCACCCGTGGCTATGGTCCTCCCATCTCTCACCTCTCTTACGCGGATGACATCATCATCTTCACCCAGGCAGATGATGATGGACTGGTCGAGCTCATGCGCCTTTTGGAGCACTATGGCTCGGTTACCGGTCAGCTGGTCAGTGTGCAGAAGAGCACATTCACCCTCTCTCTTCCAGCGCGGCCAGGTGGGCTCAGCGGGTCCACGACATTACTGGCTTTGCGCGTGGCGATCTTCCGATTACCTACCTTGGCGTCCCTTTATATAAGGGCAACCTCACGAGAACGCTCTTTGCGAGCGTCAGGCAAAGGATGATCGACAGGATCTCTGGTTGGTCGCATAGACATCTCTCTTTCGGTGGTCGGCTTGCGCTGATCAAGAGCACTCTTAGCTCTCTTCTGATTCATTTGCTTATGGTCCTCGACCCCCCTAGGTCTACTCTTGACGAGATAGACCAGATTATGGCTCGTTATTTCTGGGGTTACGAGGATGGTTCTGGGAGGGAGAGACGTACCCACTGGGTGAGTTGGGACTCCATTTGTCGCCCCCTCCCCGAGGGTGGCCTTGGCATCCGCCGCCTCAGGGACATTGTTACAGCTTTCTCATACAAGCTGTGGTGGCGCTTCAGGGAAGGAAAGTCGCTTTGGGCTCAGTACCTTCGCGGCAAGTACTGCTGTAGACGTGCCAACCACCCTTGTTGGGTGACGGCTGTTGATCATGATAGTAGGCAGTGGCGGCGCCTTACTAGGGTTGGTAGGCGCGCCCAGGATCACATTTTCTGGGTTCTGGGCGAGGGCGATGTTAGTTTCTGGGATGAGTGGTGGGAAGGTGATAGGCCGTTGTCTAGGGATATGCAGGTGTCGCATTCCCCCTACCTGCTTGTGAGCGACCTTTGGACGGACGGGTCGTGGGAGTTGTTGGTTGAATGTTTTTTTCTTGAGATGTCATATGGTTGAATGTTTTTTTCTTGGGAAGCTTGATAGAACTTTAGGCGTCTCTGACCGCCATATCTCTTTGGGAGACTGCCGGCGTCAAGGCACCACCTTTGTGTGGGCTTGATTGCCTGTGGGAAAGAAAGGAGGGGGAGTTGGGGTCTGGTACGGGTTTTAGCGGGCATTTATTAGATCAGATCCAGCAGATCCCTATCTCGGGGGACGGTTCAGATAGCATGAGGTGGAGACTTACATCATCGGGTGTGTTTTCTACTACCTCGGCTTGGGAGCAGATCAGGCTGAGGGATCGGCCTAATCTCCTCTTCGGGGCCATCTGGAGTGACCTTTTCACCCCTACTATTTCGGTGTTCCTTTGGCGCCTCCTCTTGCGCCGGATACCCGCCGATACTGTGCCACACGCGAGGGGGATCTTCTTCCCCTCTCGGTGTGTGTGGTGTTCTGAGACTGGACGCCATGAGACCGAGACCTTTACCCACCTTTTTCTAGAGAATGAGATTGTGAGGAGAGTGTGGGAGCATTTTGCCACTTGGACACATATATCCCTACCCACCACCTACAATTACTTTGAGCTTCTGAGTTATTTCTCACAGAGCACACACCATAGACACGTGGGCTTCCTCATTCCTTGTCTGTTCCTTTGGTTCACCTGGACAGAAAGGAATAGTGCGAAGCATAGGGATATTACTTTTATGTTTTCTCACATTGTTTTGCAGGTAGAGAGACACATTTCACTCCTCATCGCATTGGGCAGGATCACGGCCCAAGACTGGACAGGCTGCACGCCACCACATCGCTACATGGTGGCCCCACCACCACCTGTTCGGCACCCTCGGCCCAGAGCTGTTGTTTAGTTTCGACCTGACTCTCCGTAGGTCAAGCTGAACACTGATGGCTCCTTTGATCGCCACACTGGGGTTGCCTGAGGAGGAGGCTTGATTCGGGACCATAGCGGCGCCCTCATCACCGCCTTCCACGCGTCCCTTCAGGCCTCCTCGAGCTATGATGCATAGATTCAGGCATTACATATCGGCCTTTAGATTGCTGTCTACCTCTCTAGCCACATTTGGATCGAGCTAGACGCTGCGGCTGTAGCCACCCTTTTGACCTCGGGCCACCAGGGCTCGTGGCAGATTCAGCACCCGCTTATGCGTATTAGAGCTCTACTTTGGTCTGTCCATCACAGGATCACGCACATTTTCCGTGAGGGGAACAGACCGCCGACTATCTGGCCAGCCTTGGCGCCACCATACCAGACACACATACATTTCAGACCGATACTGCTCCACTCCGCCTCCGCACTCTTGTACAGATGGACCAGCTAGGATATCCAGCGTTCCGCTTTCAGTAGTTTAGAATTTTTGCTTTCATTAGTCTAAACATTTACTTCGGGCATCTGTTAGCCCGAAGATCGACTTTGTATTGTAGTTTCTATTTCTTTTTCGTTCTTCGGTTTTTCTTTTTGTTACTTGTTTCTGATTTTGGTTAGGAGACTCTGTAACTATTGTATCTTGCTCGTTGATATTTTGGGCCCCCGATTTTGGGGCCCTGATCTATGCACAGGTTGGGGATCCAGCCCAATCCCCCGCCCTTTCGGGGCGTTGTTTGTTAACAAAAAAAAAATCTAGCAACAAAACTCAACTAACCTAGCAACAACAGACAACTAACCTAGCAACAAAACACAACTAACCTAGAAACAACAGACAACTAACCTAGCAACAAAAGACAAATAACCTAGCAGTAAGAAAGAAATAACCTAGCAACAAAAGACAACTAACCTAGAAACAAAAGACAACTAACCTAGCAGCTACAGATAACTAACCTAGCAACAAAAGACGGAAAGGAATAGTGCAAAGCATAGGGATATTACTTTTTTGTTTTCTCACATTGTTTTGCAGGTAGAGAGACACATTTCACTCCTCATAGCATTGGGCAGGCTCACGGCCTGAGACTGGACAGGCTGCACGCAGCCACACCGTTACATGGTGGCCCCCCCACCGCCTGTTCGGCCTCCTCGGGCCAGAGCTGTTTTTTGGCTTCGACCTGACTCTCCGTGGGTCAAGCTGAACACTAATGGCTCGTTTGATCGTCATACCGGAGTTGCCGGAGGAGGAGGCTTGATTCGGGACCACAGCGGCGCCCTCATCACCGCCTTCCACGTGCCCCTTCAGGCCTCCTCGAGCTACGATGCAGAGATTCAGGCATTACAGATCGGCCTTCAGATTGTTGTCCACCTCTCTAGCCATATTTGAATCGAGCTAGACGCTGCGGCTGTCGCCAACCTTTTGACTTCGGGCCACCAGGGCTCGTGGCAGATTCAGCACCCGCTTATGCGTATTAGAGCTCTACTCCGGTCTGTCCATCACAGGATCACGCACATTTTCCGTGAGGGGAACAGACCTGCTGACTACCTTGTCAGCCTTGGCGCCACCATACCAGGCCTACATATGTTTCAGACGGACACTGCTCCACTCCGCCTTTGCACTCTTGTACGGATGGACCAGCTTGGATATCCATCATTCCGCTTTCAGTAGATTAGGGTTATTGCTTTCATTAGATTAGACTTTATATTCCGGGCATCTGTTAGCCCGAAGACAGACTTTGTATTATTTTTTCTGCTTTTTTTTTTGTTTTTGTTTTTGTTAGTGAGACCCTGTAGACTGTTGTTCGTTGATATTTTGGGTCCCGTTTTTGGGGTCCTGATCTATGCACAGGTTGGGGATCCAGCCCAATCCCCCGCCCTTCCAGGGAGTTGTTTGTTTAAAAAGAAATAACCTAGCAACAAAAGACAACTAACCTAGCAGCAAGAAAAATATAACCTAGCAACTTAAGACAACTATCCTAGCAACAAAATTCAACTAACCTAGCAACAACAGACAACTAACCTAGCAACAAAACACAGCAAGAAAAGAGCAAATGTTCTCACCTCTCTCTAGATTTCTCTCTCTAGTTTTTTCCTCCACCGCCCTCAACCTCACCCTTAACCACCACATACCACCCCCCTTGGCCACTTCAGTCGGCCCACCGGCCGCCGCCGCCGGCGGCCTCCCCGGCCTCTGGGGTCACCACACTTTTTCCCCATTTTCTTTCATCCGTTTTTAGCCCTACAAGTCATCTAATTATTTTTCAGTTTCGGCCAACCATGAACCTTAAGGCTTTAGAGATCCTCCTGTCAAATCCGGAAGTTCGAGCAACTATCTCAGGCCTTCTCGGAAAAAATCATACACTAACATTGAAAGAAGGAAATATCTTAGAAGAAGGAGACATATGTGCAACTGCCGAGGAAAATTTGCCCGGGACCTCTGAGTTTTCGCGTGCTCCCGTCGAACGACACACAGTTGTAGAAACTCGACCCTCCACGACTGAGGCGTTACCGTCGACAGTGCTCCCGATTGTCGTCAGAGAAAATCTCGAGCAAACAGAATTAACGGCAGCAAATTGCAACGCCGCTCAATCGCCACAGATAGCGGAGGTTACCGGCCAACTCCACTCGATTAAATTTGGCTCTATCCCATCGGAGGGTTGCCAAGATTTATTGGTGCCGACGAGCTTGCTCCTCCCTGCTCAATCGTCTTTATCTGATGGCGGCGACCAGGTATGCTTTAACCCTCAGCTCCCACTTCAAGTGGAGACATACATTCGGGCCAAGACTTCTCAGACGGGCCTCTTGACTACTAAGGGTGGGCCACAACTTCCTAGGCCCAATTCAACCAACAACCTTCCCTTAAACCATTTTGGGCCGGCCATTCCCCACCATAATCCTTCTCAGCCTACATCTCACTCCCCACCCCAATCCCAACACGTCCCCACATCTATTGACCCAAACCCAATTTTGGGACTTCAACAAATCCACATTCGATCCAATACCAAACACTCCCAGCCCATTCTTTTTAGCCCTTCTTTGGGACTTCCAGTTTTCGAGGCCGTTCAGCCCATCTCCTCTCATCTCTCTCAACCCACAATTCAACACGCTCCCTCCCAGCCCGAACAGCACCCTTCCCAGCACGTTTCCTGCCAGCAAACCGCAACCCTCGCCAACATCCCACTGGCTGGCGATGTCAACCTCCCCCTCGCCGGCGCCGGCAAAATCAACGGAAAAAATCACCCGGCCGGCACTCTAGCCGGGGCTACCCCGGAAGTGGTTTCTTCGACTGGAATCCTTGGACCACGGCCAAGCTCATCCTCTCCGACTGAGCACATCGCCGGAAAACCCTCGCTTGCTGCCGGAGTTTCTGAATTGGACACAAGGTATGAGCGTGAGGATAGCATCGTTGCTGAGGGCCCAACCATCTTACCTTCAACCCAGCCATCTACCACCCTTAATCCGACCAAATCTGCCACCTGCGAACCTCAACCGGCGGTTACTGGCCAGCCACCTGACTCCGGCAATGGCGCCACCACAGCGTCCGGAGAATCCCAACCCGCCGGAATCATTACCGAGGATGCCTCGTTGTTGGCTTTGTCGAAAGGAATCCTTGGACCACGACCACAATCACCTTCCCCGACCGATCAACCTACCGGCATACCTACCTCCATTGCCAACTCCTCTGGACCTTCCCCGAACGGGACACCGTCGATGGGCCCCCCAACGTCAAACCCCACTGCACCCGGAGCCCTGCCGGGCACTTCCAATGGCCCGCTCTCTTTCCGAGAGGCTATCACGGGAAAGAGAGATGGCGGAACAAGTGCCCCTCGTCCGATGCCCATAGACTTTACCTTTGACGGGGAATACGAGCACGCTTGCGGAACCATTATCCGCTCGGAGGGGAACAAAGTGAAGGCCCGATACACTGAAGCCGAATCTGTCGCTCTTGCAGGTAAGCTAGCTAACACCCTGGTCTTTAAGTTTTCATATGCTATCCCCGCTCCCCGAGATATATCTGCTGGGTTAGGAAAACTGGGCTTTAAGGGTAGAGTGTCGTCGAAGTGGTATAACTTCAACCACCTTCTAGTTTCGTTTCACCTCCCCAAGGACTATAACGAGGTCTGGCTTAAGACCTCCATTCATTTATGTGGATGCCCAGCTAGGGTGTTCAAATATTATGCCGGGTTTAACCCGAAGACGGAGGCGCCGGTTGTCCCCGTGTGGTGCCGCCTTCCTGGCCTACCACCCCATCTTTACGATCGAGCTGCCATCACTACACTAGCTAAGTGTATTGGGCAGCCGGTTCGTATCGACGCCCCGACGGCCCTTCAGACGAGGGCTAACGTGGCGCGATTTTGCGTCGAGATAGATCTGAGAGCTGAGCTCGTTCATGAGATTAAGATTGAACAGGGCTCGGAGTCTCTTGTTCAGCGGGTGATCTATGAGAAGATCCCCGCGTTCTGCACCTCGTGCAGCCATGTGGGTCATGTTGCCGCCGATTGCTACATCAGTGGCAATAAGCCACGGCCCGCCCTCCCGCAGCGCCATCGTGCGAACCAGCGGGGGCCCTCCACCAGCTGGAGGGACTCCAAGGGAAAGGTCAAAAGCCCCGTCCGCGTGCCCGAGACCCCGAAGGGGTCTAAGGATAAGGGCAAGGCTGTGATTGTCGATGCTGCCCAAACTGGGAAGGAGGCTCATCCTGACCAGCCTAAGCAGTTGGCCTTAGTGGGTCCCAAGCCCAAGTCCACGGGCTTTCTCCCTAGACAGACCTTACAGATGGCCTTCAAGGCCAACCACTCCTATTTTGCTATTCTATCCCCTGAGACAGAGAAGGAGTCTTTTCCTTCCTCCAGCAGGCCACCTAATATTTCCGACCTTAGGATTCTGGATGACGATGACCTCCTTGGAGATGATGTGGACCAGCCGGACGCCACGCCCAGGAGAGAGTCCATCCACCTATCCGACGATAGTGCGCGCGAGGCTGGTCCTTTGACCATCCGCGCATCTAGCCCGGTCCGATCTTCGGATCCGAGGGCTACTGCCGCCACCGCTCCCCCGAAAGGGGATGAGTCGGCCCACCCCATCCCTGCTGAGATTGGGAGCTCGGTCGAGCTTATAGCCAGCTCCCAGATTCCTCCTACTGACGAGTACCCGAGTGCTCTGCCTGTAGAACCCCCTTTTTCACCCATTCCCGAGCAGATATGCGAGCTCAACCGCGCGCAGCATGACGTCTCGTGCGAGAGTTTCGCCTCTAGTGCTTTTCTTCACCTTCACAGACAGGAGACAACTCCGGAGATGGGGCAACCCGCTAGTGCTGCTATAGGCCAGTCTGTCCAGCCAGACGACTCACAGGCCACGAGTACATACCGAGGTAGACAGACCTCGAGGATTAGAGCCACGCAGCACACGAGACGGCGGACGACCTCCCCTGCTATTGGACCCTTCCGCCGCACGACACGACGGATGACCTCTCATTCTTTAGGTGGCCCGAATCAGCCTCGCCATAGGCGGACTACGTCCGGTGGCTCTTGCGACCGTTGATATGTCCATCACATCCATTACTTGGAATGGCCGTGGCCTGGCGAACAGGGCTACTCTTTCTCACCTTCACTCTCTTATTCGTGACCACAGAGTCGATTTTGTTGGCTTTATTGAGCCGATGATTCGTACTCCTTCTTTTGACTACTACTCGCGTCGTCTGGGCTTCCACTCGGGCGTGGGTAATATTTCGCACAAGATTTGGTTTTTCCACTCGCGTGAATACACTTGTCGGGTCCTCCGCGACACCGATCAGGTGCTTCACGTAGAGATTTCCGCTACCCACCTCCCGGAGCCCATCTTTCACACCTTGGTTTATGCCAAGTGTACTAGGGTCGGGCGATATGATCTTTGGGACACCCTGCGTGAGATTGCCGAGAGTATGGAGGGATTGCCATGGATGGTTAGTGGCGATTTCAACATCTTTCTGCACCCCGATGAGCGCGTGGGTGGCCGCACGGACAGATCCCGAGAGATGTGGGATTTTGCGCAGACTGTGGCAGACTGCGAGTTGCTTGACGCTGGATGCGAGGGTGAGCCCTTCACGTGGGTTAGGGACAACCTCAAGGAGAGGCTCGACCGTGCTTTGATTTCTGAAGCGTGGTCGAAGGTGTTTGCAGTCACGACCGTCACGCACCTCACTCGATTTGGGTCTGACCATTCACCCCTCCTCATTAGATGTCGTTTTTCGAGCACTCCTCGCCGCGCTTCCTTTAGGTTCCAAAACATGTGGGTTCGCCACCACTCCTTCCACGACACTGTCAGGGATTCCTGGCTTCAGCCGACTGGGCTCTTCGGGATGCGCAATCTCGAGGCGAAGCTCGGCAGACTGCGGCGTCGGTTGAGACAGTGGAACTGGGATGTTTTTGGAAACCTTCATCACCGCCTTACTGCAGCTCAGAGTGCGCATGCGTCGGCTGAGCGGGCCTATGACCTGGATCCCACTCCGGAGAATAGGACCGCCATGCACCGCTGCCACGCCGAGTACCAGCTCCGACTCCTTATGGAGGAGGACTTCTGGAAGCAGAAGGCGACCGTTCGCTGGGTGGCCGAGGGCGAACGGAATACTAGGTTCTTCCAGGGCTACGTTAGGCAGAAGCGTGCTAAGTCGTACATCCATAGCATCGAGGCTAATGGGTCATCCTTGACCCAGGAGGCTCAGATTCGGGAGTCGGCTGTTGCTCACTTCCAGACCCTCTTCACTTCTGATAGAGGTTCCCTCGTGGCCCCGAACGCTTCTTTTTTCCCCACCATCCCTCCTTCGGTCGATCTCATTGGCCTCTGTGAGCTCCCGAGCAGGGAGGAGGTTAGGGATGCTGCATTCGGGATTGATCCCAACAGCGTTTCTGGCCCGGATGGTTTCTCCTCCCTCCTCTATCAGGTCTGCTGGGATATTGTCGAGACTGACATCCAGGAGGCGATGTTGGACTTTTTCTCCGGCCACCGGATGCCGGATTCCTTCACGTCTATCTCTGTCGTCTTGATCCCCAAACGACCCAACCCGAGTTCTTGGTCCGATTACAGGCCCATCAGCCTGTGTAACGTGACCAACAAGCTCATTTCGAAGATTCTTAACGGCCGTCTTTCCCCTCTTCTCCCCTCTCTCATCTCTCCGAACCAGAGTGGATTCGTCAAGGATCGGGTCATTAGTGATAACATCCTTCTGGCCCAGGAGATGATCCACGACATCTCCCGAGCAGACTGGAAGCGGGCTCCGAATATCGCGCTAAAGCTGGACATGGCTAAGGCGTATGATAGGGTTGAGTGGCCGTTTCTTAGGGAGGCGTTGGCTAGGATGGGATTCCCTGAGCGTTGGATCAGCTTTGTGGAGGCGAGTGTGGAGCATTGCACGTTCTCGGTCCTGATTAATGGCAGCCCAACCGATTTCTTTACCTCCTCTAGAGGCCTTAGACAGGGCACCCTCTTTCCCCTTCCCTCGTCGTTCTTGCGGCGGACTACCTCTCTCGCTGTCTTAACGGCTTCATCCGCGATTCTCCCCACATGACCTATAGCACCTGTGGCTATGGCCCTATCGTCTCTCACCTCTCTTACGCGGATGACATCATTATCTTCACCCGGGCGGATGATGATGGACTGGTCGAGCTTATGCGCCTTTTGGAGCACTATGACTTGGTCACCGGTCAGCTGGTCAGTGTGCAGAAGAGCACCTTCATCCTTTCATCTGCCACAGTGGACAGGTGGGCTCAGCGGGTCCACGACATTACTGGCTTTGCGCGTGGTGACCTTCCCATTACCTACCTCGGGGTCCCTTTATATAAGGGCAACCTCACGAGAGCGCTCTTTGCGGGCGTCAGACAGAGGATGATCAACAGGATCTCTGGTTGGTCGCATAGATATCTTTCTTTCGGTGGTCAGCTAGCGCTGATCAAGAGCACTCTTAGCTCTCTTCCGATTCACTTGCTTATGGTCCTCGACCCCCCTAGGTCTACTCTTGACGAGCTTGACCAGATTATGGCTCGTTATTTCTGAGGTTATGAGGACGGGTCTGGGAGGGGGAGACGTACTCACTGGGTGAGTTGGGACTCTATCTGCCGCCCCCACCCAGAGGGTGGCCTTGGCATCCGCCGCCTTAGGGACATTGTTACAGCTTTCTCATACAAGCTGTGGTGGCGCTTCAGGGAAGGAAAGTCGCTTTAGGCTCAGTACCTTCGCGGCAAGTACTGTCCTAGACGTGCCAACCACCCTTGTTGGGTCACGGCTGTTGATCATGATAGCAGACAGTGGCGGCGCCTCACTAGGGTTGGGAGGCGAGCCCAGGATCACATCTTTTGGGTTTTGGGCAGGGGCGATGTCAGTGTTTGGGATGAGTGGTGGGTAGGTGATAGGCCGTTGTCTAGGGATAGGCAGGTGTCGCATTCCCCCTACCTGCTCGTGAGCGACCTCTGGACGGACGGATCGTGGGATAGGGGGAAGCTTGATAGGGAGTTGGGGGCTGGTGCGGGTTTTAGCGAGCAGTTATTAGATCAGATCCAGCAGATCCCTATCTCGGGGGACGGTTCAGATAGCATGAGGTGGAGACTTACATCATCAGGTGTGTTTTCTACTACCTCGGCTTGGGAACAGATAAGGCTGAGGGATCGGCCTAATCTCCTTTTCGGGGCTATCTGGAGTGACCTTTTTACGCCCACTATTTCGGTATTCCTTTGGCGCCTTCTCTTGCGCCGGATACCCGTCGATACTGTGCTACACGCGAGGGGGATCTCCTTCCCATCTCGGTGTGTGTGTTGTTCTGAGACTGGACGCCATGGGACTGAGACCTTTACCCACATTTTTCTAGAGAGTGAGATTGTGAGGAGAGTGTGGGAGCATTTTGCCACTTGGACCCATATATCCCTACCCACCACATACAGTTTTTTTGAGCTCCTGAATTTTTTCTCACAGAGCACACACCTTAGACACGTGGGCTTCCTCATTCCTTGTCTGATCCTTTGGTTCACCTGGACAGAAAAGAATAGTGCGAAGCATAGGGATACTACTTTTATGTTTTCTCACATTGTTTTGCAGGTTGAGAGACACATTTCACTCCTCATCTCATTGGGCAGGCTCACGGCCCGAGACTGGACAGGCTGCACGCCACCACAGCGCTACATGGTGGCCCCACCACCGCCTGTTCGGACGCCTCGGGCCAGAGCTGTTGTTTGGCTTCGACCTGACTCTCCTTGGGTCAAGCTGAACACTGATGGCTCCTTCGATCGCCACACTGGAGTTGCCGGAGGAGGAGGCTTGATTCGGGACCATAGCGGCGCCCTCATCACCTCCTTTCACGCGTCCATTCAGGCCTCCTCGAGCTACGACGCAGAGATTCAGGCACTACAGATTGGCCTTCAGATAGCTACCCACATCTCTAGTCATATATGGATCGAGCTGGATGCTGCGGCTGTCGCCACCCTCCTGACTTCGGGCCATCAGGGCTCGTGGCAGATTCAGCACCCGCTTCTGCGCATTAGAGATCTACTTCAGTCAGTCCATCACAGGATCACGCACATTTTCCGTGAGGGGAACAGACCGGCTGATTACCTGGCCAGCCTTGGCGCCACCATACCAGGCACACATACATTCCAGACCGACACTGCTCCACTCCGCCTTCGCACTCTTGTACGGATGGACCAGCTTGGATACCCAGCGTTCCGCTTTCACTAGTATAGGATTTCTATTTTCATTAGTATAGACTTATCTCGGGCATCTGTTAGACCGAAGATCGACTTTATTATGTAGTTTTTTGTTTCTTTTTCATTTCTCGGTTTTTTGTTTTTTGTTTTTCTTGTTTTTGTTTTTGATTTTCAGACTATGTAGACCTCTGTATTTGGTTCGTTGACATTTTGGGCTCCCGTTTTTGGGGCCCTGATCTATGCACAGGTTGGGGATCCAGCCCAATCCCCCGCCCTTCCGGGGCGTTGTTGTTTAAAAAAAAAAAAAAAAACCTAGCAACAAAACACAACTAACCTAGCAGCTAAAGATAAATAACCTAGCAACAAAAGACAGCTAACGTAGCAGCAAGAAAGAAATAACCTAGCAACTACAGACAACTAATCTAGTAATGTCAGAAAAATAACCTAGCAACTACAGAGATCTAACCTAGAAACTACTAACCTAACAACTACAGAGAACTAACCTAGCAACTAGAGAGAACTAAACTAGCAACTATAGAGAACTAACTTAGCAACTACAGAGAACTAACCTAGTTGGAAGGTTAGTTGTCAACGGTGAACGCCAAAAGTCAACGGATTTCGCCAGAAGTCAACGCCGGAAGTCAACGGTCAACGCCAGAGTCAACGGGTCAAAATAATATTTAAACAATTAAAATAATAAAAAGAAAAGAGTAAATCTTGGCCACACATGATATGTACCAAATCTCGTGGCTAAAATGGAGTCTTACATACTCACTTTAAATAAGTGGATGCATTGGAACCAATCCCTATATACATATATATCTATATATATATATTATACATTATTATATAACCTTTTTAATAATTTAGAAATTTTTTTCCGCTAAAATCATTAAATATATCCTACATATAGTAATTGTTGGACAAATCTGAATAGGCAAAAAATCGACTCATTAACTGTGTAAAGATTTGTTTCTCTTTTTCCCGTTTTTTAGTTTATCTTATCAAAACCGTTGTTTGACAATAAATATTTATTTTTCTTTTTCTCATTTTTAGTATAAATCTACACGAGCTTATTACAAAATCCCATTGCATACGTCTCACTTGTTTAAAAAATCTCATCCCTTATCTATACAGATTTGAAAAAATAAAATAAAATAGAAACCAATTCATAATTACTACTAGAAATTTATTATCTTTAAAAAGAAAAAAAAATAAAATAAAATAGAAACCAATTCATAATTACTACTAGAAATCCATTATCTACTTTAAGAAGCTAATTTTCATCGGTCTAATTACTAATATTTTTACAAATACTATAAGCTAACCATACAAAAAAGTATAATAATAATTTTGAAATGATGTGTAATCAAATTTTTTTATATTCTCTTATACAAAATAATTTTACATTGTTTGACCCCGAATCTTTAATTTATAATTATTAAGTATTGTTTATCCTCCACTTTAATTTATAATTATTTTTTTCTTCCTCTTTTTAAATAGGATCAATAGTAGTTTCCACTTCCGTCATTGAGTGACTCAAACTCGAGGTCTATTTATAATATTGTTAATTTAATATTATTCCCGTGCATCGCACGGGGTACACACTAGTATATATATAGTTGGGATCATATGACAATGATAGATAGTGAAAGAAATGAGAATAAATCTGAACCATGAGATCAATCATATTAATGGGTATTATGAAGTCAAACTATGGTCAACCATTAATGGCAATCTTGTAATTATTTGATCATAATGTGGTCAAATATTTACATTTAACCAATAATTAAGGGTAGTTTGGACATTTAATTTAAACCTAACAACCCTGTGAGACCCACCACTACACACATTAATATCCTAAATAATTAATCTTCTCCCACCCCACCTAAATATCAGCCACCCCTCTCATTCATCTTCTCCCACACACACACACATTACATAGCACACACACACACACACAGACTTCTATCTGGAGCAATGTGCAGCCGCCGCTCGTCCACCGCGCCTCCGCCATCTCAGGCTGTCGTTCGTCCGCAGCGCCGCCGTATACCTTCACAAGCCCGCCTCCATGCACCGCCCCAGCCTGCCACGAGTCCACCCTCCACCGGCTTGGCCACCGCCGCGATCCAGTTCGCAGTCGACAGCCGCGTGGGAATTTCTATCACCAACTTCTAGCGCGTGAAGCCGCACTGTCTCCAGGACCCTGTGTGAACAAATAGCATCTCTGTCACCGTCGCATGTCCAATTTTCGGCCGATTCGAGCCGACCGTGCGTCCTTAGCGTGGGAGGATTCCGATGGCCCTGTTCCACTTACACTGACAGCAAGGGTGCTGAGCTGAGCGCCTCTGGCAGAGGAGGATCAAATTCGGGCAGATTGTGGTGGCATGAGATGGAACTATTTTGCAGGTGTAGGTAAATTAGGGGTTAGGTTAGGGGTGGTGTTATATGAGATGATTTTGCAGCTGTGATAGGAGACGATTTTTGCAGGAAAATTAGAGGTTAGGTTAGGGGTTGTTTAGTGAAAATTAGATGATTTCTAGGGACAACTATGTAATTTTTAAGAACTTTATCCTAATGCTAAAGTCAGCAGCAAGATCACCAGTTCATCAGACCATGCCATTCTTCTGCTTGATCTGGGGCAAGTAAAAATCAGAAAGAACAGAAGGTTTACATTTGATAAAAGGTGGCTCTCGAAGGAAAATTTTTCTCAAACTGTATCTCAGGCTTGGTCTCACTCAATTATTGGCACCCCATTCTATCAGTTGAAGGAAAAGGTGAAGAAAACAAGATTGGCACTTCTCATTTGGAGTTCAAATTTCAGATCGCAGAACCAGATTGCAGTTGATACTCTCACTAAAAAACTAGAACACATCAGAGCTAATAAAGCAGACTCCTCTTGGGAAGAATGGAATAATACCAGAAAAGAACTAGAAAAAGCACATCATCAGGAGGAAGTATTTTGGCAACAAAAATCCAGACTGCATTGGCTAAAAGAAGGAGATGGTAATACCAAGTTCTTCCATGCATTTACTCATCAGAGAAGGAGGCTTAATGCAATTACTAGATTAATCTCTCCAAATGGCCAACATCTCTCATCTCAGGCAGATATTCAGGATCACATAACAGAGTTTTACACACAACTTTTCTCATCAGAAGGCTCATGGGGAGGAGAATCCTTACTACAGCTGATCCCCAGAACCATCACACCAGATATGAATCAACAACTATTGCTCCCAGTAACTGAAGATGAAATAAAAGCTGCACTATTCAATCTACATCCAGACAAATCTCCTGGAGAGGATGGTATGTCAACTTCATTTTATCAAAACTATTGGTTTATCATTAAAGCTGAGTTTGTAGCTGTTATTAAAAGTTTTTTCTCAACTGGTCAACTCCTTAAATATTGGAACCATACTATATTTATCCTTGATTCCTAAATGTGTCTCTCCTGAGACTATAAGCCAATATAGGCCTATCAGCCTCTGCACAGTGGTATACAAGGTCATTACCAAAATTCTTGCAAATAGAATTCTACATTGTCTCAATAGCTGCATAAGTGGTTACCAATCTGCATTCATTAAAGGCAGACAGCTATTAGACAATGTTATAATTGCTCATGAAGTCTTTCATTATCTGAATAGGCATGTTTCTGGGGGCAATTTCTTTATGGCCTTAAACTTGACCTAATGAAGGCATTTGATAGAGTGGAGTGGTCATGCATTCAACAAATCATGATACAAATGGGATTCCACAATGATTTTGTTAAACTGGTCATGTCATGCATTTCATCCTCCTCCATCTCTTTCAAAATTAATGGAGAAGTCTGTGGTTTGGTTAAGCCAACAAGGGGCATTAGGCAGAGAGACCCACTCTCCCCATATTTATTTATCATTGTGGCTGAAATGTTATCTGCCCTTATAGTTCATTCCTCAACTTCTGGACAACTGCAGGGACTGAAACTATCCAAAAATGGCCCATCTTTAACACATCTGCTTTTTGCAGATGACTCTCTATTGTTCTGCAGGGCTAGTGTTGATCAAACACATATTCTCATGGACATTTTGCACAAGTACAGAATTTTCACAGGGCAGAGAGTCAATCTCAGTAAATCCACCATCTTTTTCAGCAGGAACACTCCACCTCACCTCCAACAGGTCATATGCAGATCCTTGCAAGGAATCCAAGCACACAACTCAACCAGATACTTGGGACTTCCACTGGGGATTGAAAGATCAAAGAAGGAAACATTTGCTTATCTACTGAATTCCATCAAAAACAAACTGCAAGGTTGGAAATCCAAACTTCTTTCAGCAGCTGGAAAGGAAGTCCTACTCAAAGCAGTGATTCATGCTCTTCCTATTTTCCTATGTCATGTTTCAAGCTTCCAATAACTTTATGTAATGACATCTCTAAACCTTATGCATAGTTTTGGTGGAAGAGAAAAGAAGATACCACTGCAGGTGTTCATTGAAGAAGCTGGACTAAACTCTTTATACCAAAGCTCTCAGGTGGACTTGGATTCTTGGACATCAAGCTTTTCTATGCAGCTCTCGTCTACAAACAATTATGGAGAATAACCAGTCAACCTGATTTTCTGGTCAGCAAATTCTTGAAAGATAGGTACTATCCTCATACTTCTATCTTTCATGCTTCCAAAACTTATAACAGTTCATGGTTATAGAGCTCTTGGATGGAAATACTGTCTGTCTTTGTTAAATGGCTGAGAATTGGAATAAGGAATGGTGCTCATACTAGAATAGAAGACTGTAACTGGATTCCAAACTTTTCAAAACCAGCTCCTGAACTGATACCACTGGCTAGAGGTCATTTGTTATTTGTTAAAGAGTTACTCACTGAGGATGGTTTACATTGGAATGAATGGCTAGTGAAGCAGGTGTTTAGTTCAGAGGATAGCTTAGCAATCCTAAATATTAATAGCCTGAATCTAACAAAAACAGACAGATACTATTGGGGTTTGGATAAGAAGGGACAATTTTTAGTCTCTAGTGTGTATAAATATCTGATTCAGCAAAAGGTAGTGCAAATGGACATTCCAGAATGCAGTTACCAACCAAACAGTAGGGCATGGGCTCCTATATATAAAAGAACATGGTCTTTGCAAGTAATGGGGAAAGTTAAACTCTTCATTTGGAGATGCTTGTTAGGAACACTCCCTGTCCTGGCTAATTTGAAGAGAAAAGGTCTAGACTTGGACACCACCTGCAAGTATTGTGGAGAAGATGTTGAAACTACAGAACATGTGTTGTTCTCCTGCCCTAGAGCTTGCAGATTATGGGAGATAGCACCAGTCTCTTGGGATGGCTTGCATAATCTACAGCATTCATTTAAGCAATGGTGGAGGCAGCTTTGTCTAATAGGCAAAGAAGAAGTAGCAGAACACATAATCCAACTCACCACATACTTACTGTGGTGGCTATGGATAACGAGAAATGCGTGGATATTTCAACAAACTTTGGCCCCTATTCACATTGTTTTGAAGGCTGCAATCTCAGACTGGATGGATTTTAAAACAGCTAGAAACAAGTAATTGGTGTAGCTTTGTGTTAATTCCTTAGTTTTTGTAGACTGCATTGTATTATATTTTGTTGTTGTTTTGGAATCCATTTGGAACAAGTCCTCTTGCTAGGCATTGTGCAATGGTGGAGTACCTGTTCTTTTCCACCTTGTTTTGCTGGTCACAGAGTAGTTGTATTGGCTTCATAACCTTGTGAGGCTCTAAGTCACCATGTTGGGTTTTATTTTCGACGTAATTGGTTGTTAGTCTATTTGTACCGAACCATTTTATTGAGTTATATATAAAACTTCTATTGTTTTTGGGAAAAAAATAAATAAAAAAATTAATGGTTTAAATATTCTAAAAAACTAATAGATGTAGTATTTTGTTATAAACAATTATATAATATGTGTATTGATATTTATATTAAATTTTCAAAAATTTGAGTATATTTAATTTTAATCGATGGATTAAATATGTAATTTATAAAAATGTTAAAAATGACACAATTATGTCATATGCAACGCACAACAACGATAAATAATCTGCACAATATCGTGTGTATATACGCATATTAAAAATTCAAAAAAAAAATCAAGATGTCAACGATTTACATAATGCACAATATTGTTAATCGGTTGACATTGAAATTTCGATATAATCAGTTAACTTGTAGGTTAACATAGATAACCACAATAATCGACATAAATTATATTATTTATTAAAACATGATTAGTATTTAATATGTTTGTATTTGATATCTTATATTAGTTATATTAGTTATATTAGTATTTAATATGTTTGTATTTGATATCTTATATTAGTTATATTAGTTATAGATAACCACAATAATCGACATAAATTATATTATTTATTAAAACATGATTAGTATTTAATATGTTTGTATTTAATTAAAAAAATTGTATATATATATAAACGAAATATACGGTGCAATCTAACAGTTATTAAGTTGCAATTCGTCCATCACTATGGTGCACGATGTCAGTATGTATTGTGCAGATTGAACCAACTGAACTTTTATCCCATTCAAATTGAAAATGAACATAATTAATTGGTCTATTCGGTTTTCTAAATTATCATAAAAATTTATTATTTATATTAAAATTAATTTTAATATGTTAATAATCATAATTATTATTTTTATATTATTTTTGGTTGGAAAAAAAATGGTTCGGTTGGTTTCATTATCTATTCATGTGATCTTATAGTCGTGATAAAGTGCAGGGTGTTATTTTATAAAGTGCAACATATTGTTTTATAAAGTGCAACATATTGTTTTATAAAGTACTCATGTAACTCTGTTGTGCTAGCAGGCTTGTGTTTTTATGTAGTTAAATAATGTGATGGATGTTAAGATGTTATGTAGATCAATTTTTTAGATTTAAGTTGTGTGGTATTTTTGCGGAATTATTAACATTAATTGTGGAGTGTGATGATAAAATGTAATTTATTGTTTTATAAAGTGCGATGTGTTGTTTTATAATGTGCAACATGTTGGTTTATAAAGTGCATCGTGCTGATATATAAAGTGCATTGTTTTATATGATCACATATAAATTATGTGTTTTTGAAATGTATATTATAGTAGATATAATTGTGTTTTTTGAAAAGTTTTTATTGTAAATACATAATATGTGAAATACCCAAATCAACGATGTGCATTTCCATAATCAATAATGTGCATGTGGTCTAGTATTATTGTGCAATCGATTGAGCGTTAATTTTTTATGTGCATTTCAATTTAAGAATATTTTAATAACGTGTATTATTATTATTATTATTATTATTATTATTATTATTATTATTATTATTATTATTATTATTATTATTATTATAAAATTAAAGTTTTAGTATTTTAGTATTATTATTATAATTAATTTTAGTATTTTATTAATTTTTATATATCTTTTTTAGTAATGACGATATATTATAATTATGTATAATATAAATATAAAAAAATATATAAAAATTAATATTTTTTTATATATTTTTTTATAAATTACACATTTCAATCAACATTATTTTGCATCTATCGTATTATTTATATAATTAATATAGATATATTTTTTATCTTATTTTATATCATTGTTTGTAGAAAATAAATAACACGTACATAGATAAATTATAAATAATATAATTTTTATATAGTTTGGTCGGTTCTTGTAATTCAATTTTTTTATAATCTTATTTTTATTTAATTTTTTCAATAAAGCCAACCAATGAACCAAACTATCAGAATTTTTTAATATTTGTGAAAAATGCACACTAGCATAACAACAATTTTTTTTGTCATGCAATGTGTATTATCA